GACTAAAAGAAAAAATCACATTCGTGTTTTTGCAATTTAAAATCAGATTAAGGTATTCTTATGTATAACTTCTTTTTTTATTAGCACCGTTCGTAATCGTAGGTATGTGTTTTGGTGGTACATTTAAACTTTTAAAATCAGTTAGAGGTAACAGAAGTCGGGTTTATCTGGATGAGACTTTAACTTGATCCAGACAGACAAATTTACTGTATTGATATGTCATTTTAGTATCACCTGTTGCTTGAAATCAATCTTTTCATCTATTTTATAGCTTTTGAATATAGTTTTAGAAAGACACGGCTTTTTCAAATTTAGTCTTTTTCCTTTCCTATGTTCTAGTAGTTCCATATTTAGTTATGGACTTTTGAGGATAACCGTTACTGCGTGAACAACGTTCAAGCGCGAGTAATTTGTCTTATTTCTACCATTAGTATATAGACGGTGTATACGTTTGAATAGCGTTCTAACCAAAGCTCTTTTTTAGCTTATTGAACAATAGCAATTGAAGTATGAGCATAACCGGTTCCAAATTTTTTTTGGTCAACATGTCTTTCCGTCTGGTCATTTGTATCACTTTTATTCTCGAAACCTAAAAAAAGTGAAGCATGTCTGGTTCATATTCCATTGTAAATCTAATGTTAGGGTTAAAATGTTGTAATAAACAAAAAGCATGATGCTAGTTATTACTTGACGATTTCATCACCATCTGTTCTGGTTTTGTGACTAAGGCAGCCGTCATCATTGGGCACAGTAGTTGATTCATGGTGGCCCCAACAATTTGACGTTATGGGATGTTGTCGAATATAAATCGAGCGTCTTTGATGCACATGAGTGGAAGTTAATTGAATTCATCTTTCGATAAAGGAAGTTGTTCAACAAGTTAACTAGGATGAGAAGTTCTATTTACTTTCAGAACTATCACAATCGGAGTTTTCCCTAACGAGTAGGTGACTGGTTGCGTAAAACCGAGCTTTCATAACCAATCCAGCCATTAATGAACTTTCTCAATTGGAAAATATTGCACTTGTGTTTTTGGAGAAATATCAAATCTTGCCGCAAATATATTTTTTCTCTCAATTGTGTAAAGAAACCGGTATTAGGAACCCAACTATTAGCGAAACTATCTCAAACAAAGATAGGCATATCATTCATTCTCAATCCAGGAGATGGGATCGATGGGCAGAACACTTTAGGGATCAGTTCAACTGGCCTTCAGCCACAGTTCAGTTACCCACGATCCCCAGTCATCCTGAATGGTAAATTGAGGTAAGTCCTCCAACTCTCTACGAGGTTGAAAGAGCTATAGGAAATTTAAAGCGAGGGAGAGCCGCAGGTCCTGACAGGTTTACCCCTGAGATTTTTAAGGATGGTGGTCTAGTACTAGCAACGAGATTAACTGAGGTCTTAGGTAGAATCTGGGAACTGGACGTAATCCCATCTGACTGATCCCAATCACTGATTGTGCTAGTCTATAAGAAGGGACAAAAGTCCTCCTGTGACAATCACAGAGGGAACAGTTTGACTAAAATAGTGTCTAAAATATTAGCTTCAATAATACTTGGACGCCTAACCAAAGCTCGTGAAGAGCAGACCAGAGAAAACCAGTCTGGTTTCCGACCTGGACGTGGTTACATAGACCAGATATTCACTCTACGTCAGGTCCTAGAACATAGACACACATTCAGACGTCCCACAATAGTAGTATTTCTTGACCTTAAGGCGGCATTTGACTCGGTTGATCGTGAGGTTCTATGGCAGTGTTTGTCAGTGAAAGGAGTACCAAAGAAGTACATTAACCTCATAAAGGCTCTCTACTCGAACACAACTGGTCGGGTTGGAGCCTATGGCGAACTGTCATCAGAATTGGTTACCTCAAGTAGTGTTCGTCAGGGCTGTCCACTCTCCCCATTCTTGTTTAACTTTGTCGTTGACATGCTTTTAGAGATATCACTTTTATCATCTCAATCTCCTGGAGTTAAACTTTTACCAGGAGATTCACTTGTTGACTTAGAATACGCCGACGACATAGTTTTATTCGATGAAGACGCTGACAAAATGCAAAGTCTTCTGACCACCATAGGCAACTATGCAGAAATGTTCGGGATGCAATTCTCTCGCTCAAAGTGCAAAATGTTACTTCAGAATTGGGTTGCATCGGCACCTGAACTAATGATAGGGAGTGAAGTAGTTGAGCGTGTTGACCACTTCACTTATATTGGGAGTCTCATCAGCCCTTGCGGTCTGGTGTGTGACGAAATCTCAGCACGGATACAGAAGGCTCGTCCAGATTTCGCCAACTTACACCATTTATGGCGTAGGCGAGATATCCGTCTACCAACCAAAGAATGGGTTTACTGTGCAGCAGTCCGTTCCGTCCTACTTTATGGCAGTGAAACATGGCCGATAAGAGTAGAGGATATTCGTAGGCTACTAGTGTTCGATCATAGGTGTCTTCGACGCATTGCTCGTATATCCTGGGACCACCGGGTAAGTAATGCAGATGTTAGGAAACGGGTACTAGTTAAGGATGGCAAATCGATTGGTGAAGTAGTGAAACTTCATCAGTTGAGATGGCTGGGACATGTGTTACGTATGCCCAACCACCGACTGCCCCGACGTGCAATGCTTTATGGTGAAGGAGTAGATTGGAAGAAAGCTTAGGGCGGCCAGAACAATTTTGGCATAAATCCATGAAGTCGCTGACAAGTGGACTAGGCCATGTTGGTACGTGTAGACTACCTGGTTGGGATTCGCGAGATGATAGCAACCGATGGTTATAGATCTTGAATGACATGGCTCAAAATCGTTTGCAATGGCGAAGGTGCATCCACTCTTTGTGTTCTACCAAATTCTAATCTTCTGAATTCTTCATGTCCGTATCCTTTTTCTCTTTCCAAATTTATTTCACCGTGTTATACCCCTTCAATAACATCTTCAAACCCTTATCTTTCACATAATACTTATATTCTTACTACTTCTACCAATATGGTATTTGAATCGACAACTTCATCTCTGTGCTAATGTGGTATGGCGACTCGAACTGATGTACGTACGTACGAAGTTCTACGTTGTAACTGACTGTGTAACGGCGAAATATGATCTCAAATACACTTAAATGTTTTTCGTATAGAGATGCTTTGATCTCGGTAGTTATATTCGAAATAAACAGTCAATGTATTAGTTAACGCCTGTTAGCTCACTCAACAAATCTTCCATTTCAAACTGCAACTAAGCACTAGAAGGCTATTTATACTATTATTTTTATTATCATCACGTTGTAATATGAATACAATTCAAGTTTTCAATGCATAATGATTAGCAAATCACAATATGTGTATAACTAGGATCTTTTTCATGCAAAGTCTTGGTAAAATATTTGTGAATGGGAAAAAAATACGGTAATAGGTAATGGGTCAAACGGAAGCTTAGAATTCGAACAAAGTCAAAACATAAATCGTTTATCTAATTGTTAAGGAGTCCCAATGTATTCATCTTAAAAGTTCGTGTAGGTCCAGATATCTGCAAAACATTTTTTTCAAATCAACGTCGAGTAGAAGCTTCTCTGAAACATCTAGAAAGTGAAGAGTGTTTTCCACGTTTTTGATTGGATATATACCTACGTTGCCACTATATTTAGTATTGTTCCAGAAGCCTGAAGTCTTCCGTAATAATATAAATACCCTCGTTTTTCTGTACATGAACTAGCCTTGGAGTAAGGTGTTTTTTTTGCTCTCCCCGCCTTTTCTCTTGTGTTCAAGTTGCCTTGTAGATTTAACCTGGGGTCATTAGAAGCGGTTAGCAAATTGAATCGAACGTTCAACTAGAAGTGTTTGTGAATAATAATAATAATAATAAAGTCTTATCATCAATAAATTTGCTTTAAAAATGTTTTTTGATTCTTTGAAGAATAACTTCTATAGCTTCCCGTTTTTCATTGATTCGGCGATACACTACACTTTCATCGTAAAAATTATGACCAAGTACTCCACCTATACCTTTGTTCGTTTTGAAATTTTCTTCTATTTCCATCCAGCATGTTTTCCTGCCGTTTCAAAATGTAGCATCAGGAACCGATGTATTGTAGGACACTTAGCAGACGCTTTTTGTCTCTTTTAGAGCTATTTATTAGGGAATTTATATGAAGTGACTAGAAGTTATTGGGTTACACAGTAAGCTCAGTACCGTAGGCGTGATGGTTAACTTTTTTTGAAAAATCGCAAACTGACTGAATTGTGAAACTACGTGCAATTATACTTTAACTTGTTGGTTAGTACGATCCTCATCGCGAAATTTGGAGATTTTTATGTTCAGATACTTACGTCGTTATCTGTCTTCATTTGTCATCCATTCTAAACTAGAATCAAACATATGCCTAGTGCTCCATCAGTTTAAGGTTTTCGACTTAAAAAAACATTCAAATCGAACAGTACGTTATTCAAATCTTAGTGCCAAAAAGAATTAAGTTCCAGGTCATTATTCCTTCTCAGTCAATGACTTATCATCTATGTAAAGTGTAGAAATAACTGAGTCGATGTAGGGGTTTCAACTCAAGTAACATTATTTGAGATTAATTAATTTGGAAAGCATCTGTAATCATAATGAAATGAAGAGAGTTTCTGAAAACCGCTTTCTATTGTTTTTATGAGTTGCATTCTGATTGTAACATTTTTGCTTATTATATTGGAGTGTTATCGGTATATTAAGCGTTCATCTTATTCTAATTGTTTTTCCTTTTGGTGAATCATTTCTCTATCGTTTCTGGGCTACAGATTGTGGTGCAACGCTTTATTGCCTATCTAAGCTCGAAATTCCAATAGGTTTTAAAACATTTAAGGGAATTTGTAAAATTAATTATTTTATTACCTAGAATTTTGTGGTCATCGTTTTCTTTCTTGTCAGTGTTGTTATTCAAATTTTTTATTGTTAATTTGAAGTTATTAGTCCACCACAGTGTTTTTTTCTAATTATCTTTTGGGTTCAAATGTCTCACTTTCTTTCAGGCAAACGCTGGATTCGTCAATTCCTTATGGGTGCTACATTACTGCCATTCCTAATATGTTGTTCTACTTTTCTGGTAAATCTTGTTGCCATATACTATCGTACGAGTCGCTCTATCCCATTCTTGACAATGCTCTCCATCACTTCCATTATCTTATTCGTAGTCATTCCATTAAATTTAGTCGGTACTGTGTTAGGTCGTAATTTATTTGGTTTGGCGAATTTCCCATGTCGAGTAAATCCTGTTCCTAAAGCAATACCGGAAAAGAAATGGTTTATGGAACCGTCATTTCTCATTATTGCAAGTGGACTGCTACCATTTGGATCAATTTTTATTGAACTGTAAGTCTATTTAATAGTTGTATGCAACCAAATCCTTTCTTATATTTTATCAGTTATTGTTGATTTAATCCTTCAATTATATTGAACAGGCCTTATAAACTGACATTTTTCGAATCACTAACCAATATAGATGGCGTCAAATAAATGCTGCTTCTCTATTTGTGGTCAATCATAATCAACTTAGGGCCTGGAGCAATTTTTCCGACTGCCCAAGTTGTTATAATTCATAGCACAACGGGATGAAATCGAAAAGAAATAGTTGTGAAGAGACTAAGCGTTGGCGAATATATTTCAAAAAGGGTGTATGTATAAATACATGTTTATTGTTTTCTGGATCCAAGTAACTTAAACATGATAGAAATACATATATACATACGTTTCTTCAAAACAATTCATTGATGTCTAACCTAAGTAGCTCTTGTAAACTATATACGCCACTGGCAGTGCTTCTTCTTGGCAGAATATCAGCGGTAATACAGTCGTTTTTGGAGATTGTAAATTCAGAGTGGAAACAAATCGTTGATGCAAATTAATGGCTTCTTCATGGTACATCCTTTTCACCTCCATTTTTTTGTATCCGTGTTGTTTTTGTAATTATGATTTTAACAACGTTTCGAACATTCATATAAACTTCACAAAGTGAAGTGTGTTTAACATTTGTTAATAATGTAGTTAATTGTTATCTTAGATTGTACGTGGTTGATGAGAATCCATGAAATAGAAGGAATTATTTTCGTTGTTGTTGTTGTTCTTTCTGTTTCAGATTTATCAAGGAATATGATTGTATGAAGTTCTCTCAATGTTTAGAACTTAATTTTGAGAGCTATATTGAAGTTTGTCAGTATTTCAAATGGTTGTGTCGAACTTTCGTAGTTCTGTTCGTCCATTTGTCTGGTTCTTCTCTAGCCTTAGTTTTTGCTTTGTCACGTTAACTTCTCTCTTTGTCCTTACGTCTTCCATAAATATTCTGAGTTGTTTGCTGATGCAGATGCGATCGATCTGGTTTTCTATAATGTAGTTGGTGGAAACCCATATAGCGTTTGTCAGCGAAAATGCTGCCACGTATAGCCACTTTGTTTAAAACACGTAGATTTATCAATCTTGCACCATTCCCGTTTTTTCTGCCAGTCCTATGTCATCCCATGACATTTTCATACCCGGTATTGTCCATACCAACCTCGAAGTTTAAGTTCCCCATCAGGATGGTCAGGTGTTTTCCTGGACATTTGTTTACGATGGACTACAGCCCCCTCATCAATCTAATCTTAATCTTCCCTTCTATCATTGGTAGGTGGGTAACATTAGATGACATCCTTTGTGATCTCTTCTTTTGTTTTAAGGAATCCTTCAATAACCCTGGAGCCATGAGATTACTATCCTGTAAACGTCTTTCGTTCTCTATAGAGCACTCCTTGTGTGTTCATGGCATTTTATTCTTCATGACCGGCCCTACAAACCTAAATTATTGTCTAATTGGTGTTCAACTAAATAAAGTTTATCATAATCGCAAAGTGACAAAAAATTTATGCTACTTATATTTACCAAACGAATGACTGTCGGACCTATTTTGCCTCTGATTGTTTAATATTTTGGTTAATAATCTGGTCAGTACTTGATTAGACGTATGTGATGCAGGTTTATAGCCACTTCTAATAGGTTAATGGTTAAAAGCGCTTTACTTGGAAACATAGGCATCCCTTAAAATTACATCATTCAAATATTTTGTTTAAACTATACAGACATTAAATTCAACTTAGTATTGTTTGTTTGAATCTTCCCATCGATTTGTTAGGACTGCAACTGGTCAGTCTCTAATTGGCATATGTGCATACTGTGCGTATTGCCTCGATATACCTTAATTCACAAGCATGGTTAGCAGAGATGGATAGTGGCTAGCAGTGGAATCCAGGACGCGCGTTTCGTCCTGTTTGGGACTCGTCAGCTGGATGTACCTGCATCTCAGAGTTGATGTTCATTTTTGCTTATAATGCTTCTGAATTAGGGCTATATCGAGGCAATACGCACAGTATGCACATATGGCCAATAAGAGACTGATCAATTGCAGTCCTAAACATCAATGGGAAGATTCAAAGAAACAATACATCCAGCTGACGTGTCCAAAATAGGACGAAACGCGCGTCCTGGATTCCACTGCTAGCCACTATCCATCTCTGCTATACAGTCATTAGTTTCGTCATGTTGATTTTTAGAATTTTAAAGCAGGTATGCTAAGTATGAGTAATGTTTTAAATTGGAAGTAGTTTATTGTATGTCTTTGTCTTGTAGTTTTTAGTGTATAGTTCTATTCCTTTCTATATTTAGTATGTTGCACATCTATGTAATAGTAAATGCACTCACTTTTTATCAGTCTCGATTGACATTTAAATATGTTGTATTTTCCTTTCCGTCTACGCAAAATATCAGAGTAGTTCAGATCAGAAACTAACATACCTTTTTTCTTGTAGGCTTTTAATGCTGATAGTGAAATCGTTCAGTAATATGCAACGTGGAATCTGGAACACATATACATCGGTCCCACATGTCACACTATATCACCACAGCGAAATAAAATCATCAAACCAAATCCCAGAGTTGTAGAATAAGTATCAATTAACATATGTACTAGAAAAGACTGAACATGGAGAGAAATAAAACAATTGTAAGAGGGTTTCAGGACTCAGTAAGGTGAATGAATCTAATACAGAAATGTCAACTTAACTTCAAAATCGTTTCATCAATTTGATTTTAGCTATCGTAGAGTGACCAGCTACTGCACTTCAACTGAATGTAGGTATTAATAAATGAGAATATACATGTACTCATTGAGTTAAAACTTAATTTTTCATAATCAGAAGAGAATATTTTGTACCATATAACGGTAAAAAAAAGCCAAACTACAACTTTTCACCTTTTCTCTTTCTAATTAATTAATTGTAGATATTTTGTCTTCACATCATTTTGGGCGTATAAAATTTACTTTGTTTTTGGCTTCACTTTGCTTGTTTTATTTCTTCTAATTGCTGTGACAACATCTGTTACTGTTGTGGGCACCTATTTCTTGTTGAATTCTGAGGATTATCGTTGGTAAGTAAAATTAACTCAATTATTTTGTAGTGTTATCATGAAAACTAGTGTAAAGTTGGGGTACCGATCAATCTACTTAACTTTCTAAAAGGTCTTAGGTTGGAATCCTCTCCGCTAACTGAGGTTTGGGAATGCTGAGTACAGAAATTTCCACTTTATATTTCTTTTATTTCTAATTATGAAAACCGCATATGAGAATGGTCTTACTTAAAGCAGTATGAAAATTTATGCTGAAGATCTGCTATTATTTGTTAAAATAACTAATTCAACTCCACTATGCCGCTCTTTTCAACTCGAGTTGTTGTTAAAAGTGCTTTTCCTCCTATGATATTGATAAATCTTTAAGCTGGGCATTGATCTAGATACAACTCATGGAAAAGTTGATGTCACATAAGTCCAACGACCTAACGTAAAAGCCCATGCAATCCTTTCATACATTTTTTAACAGATTCATAATTCCCATCTAAAAATTCTCATAGGGATTAATCCACATACATATATCCATCTTCATCAGTATTTTTGGTAGCTTAGTTTATTTTAAAATTTACTTTTCCATAATTTAACATGATTTATTGAGTGACCAGGAGATAACAATACTTAACTGTTTCATTTTAGTTTAAGACATATACTGAAACTCATTTACCTAAGTTTCGGCTTTATAACATTTTCTGTGAAAGTACCAATAGTACTGTTTTGTTGGTCGAGGTTGTTGAGGCGAGATTCAGACCTGTAACACGACAGTGAAAGGTCAAGAGATCTAACAACAAAACCGCCACACATCGTTGCACCGTCAAGTCTTTATAACATCCTAGATTCTATCGCTAAAGTGATTTAAAACTGCATACTTTCTAACACTAACAAACTATGCTGTTCATTGCAAAACTGGTTTCTAAATTTTCTTAGCAAATTATTTTTAATGAATTGGAAAAACTGAGTTCAACTAGAACTACGTACACTTAAACATCAAGTTTATTTGCATTAAAATAGTAATAATCGCACTGTCATATATTGACGAATATTCTTGCATCCTTTTTCTTATGTATTATTATTCGATGGCCTTTATTATTATTGTTATTACTGTTAATATCCTGCTTTATTAGGCAATGGACAAGTTTTCTTTCTGGTGCATCGATCACGTTTTATGCATATTTATATTCTATTTACTACTACTTTTTCAAAACCAAGTGAGTATCTGTTAACATATGTTTTCTTGTATTTCAACTTTAGATGGCTGTTTTCTGCTTAAAAGATCTGCTTTCAGGTTTTTCTTTTTTCTGTTTTGAGATATATTCGGAAGTTTGTAAAAACTATTCTATACTCTCGAGAATGAGAGAACTGCATGAACTTATGCATACTGTTGATTAATTTCTGCTTTATGGAATGTGCTATCATATCAGCATAATAATTTTTAGGAAAAAACACTGAAAATTAGGTGGTAGTAAAATAGCTTGTACTTTTTTTCACCATCATAGTGGAATGTGGTTCTAGGGAATCGACAGAAAACTTTGTCCATACCATACCCTTTAAATAGCCACTGGCGATGGCTAAGTAGTTCGAATGTCTTTGCAGTTGTGTGGGCGCTTTCTGATGATGTTACAGATGATATCAATCCAACTACAGCTTAAACTTAAGCGGTTTATGCCGACTCCATACTTACGTTACTCTTGATGTCAGGGTTTCAGCGTATAACGTTTCATCGATATCTTCAGTAAATTGCCTATGTTCAGTGGTGACACTTTCTAAATGATCCTGATGTTTACACTTTTAAAATAGGGTAGTTCCACTCTATCCCACTGGGTTGTGTAACTTACATGCATGTTTCCCCAGTTGGGTCTAAATGGCTCACCATTTAGCGACAGTGGGACTAGGTAGAGGCGGAAGAGTGGTCAATTTGTGACTTAGTGTTGAGAAATGAAGGATACTCGTATGGAATTTGTTTATATTCATTTGTCGCGTTACTGGGTTCTAAATTGTCATGCAACTCATTAACTGAAGTCATTTATGAAATGACTTAAAATGGATGTCAGTGATGGCCTAGATTTAGTTTTCTACTTTATACTTCATAAACAGTAAAATGTGCTTTCCAACTAAATGAAATCCATCTTTTTGTGTCTCGTCTTGCTACGTAAAACATTTTTCAAATCTCTATTTAACCAAACATTTCATGTTATAATTTAAAGTAGGTAGTAGGGTTTGTAGTAATAATGACTGTAATGTAAAAACCTCACTATTAATATTCTTTGTTCCAATTTCAGAATGTTTGGCCTATTTCAAACTACTTTCTATTTCGGTTACATGGCATTGTTTTGCCTATGTATAGGGTTACTTTGTGGTAAGTCTCTTTGGTCGCACACTTCTAGACTTATTCGAATTTGAGGTAACGCATAATTCTTTGTTCTTCTATCAATGCTTTAAGCGGCAATTTCAGAATTTTGAATACTAAGTACTTTTCAGCAGACAAATTCAGTTCTAGTCTGCAATGTCACGTTCATAAATAAAGACTTTAGTGTTCGAGCCCTTCCTTGTAAGTAGGTCATCGACGAAGTCTCAGCAGGAATATAGAAGCCTCATTTGTGATCTAACACCCTGCACCACCAAAAGGGACTAATGAGGTATCTACCTATGTTACGTCCTTGATTCGTCTACCCACTTCTATGCAGAAAACAACTTGTTTAATCTAGCTAACTGGCCTAACCTTGAGCGTAGTATGCATGAATTCAAAGTGAGACCAAACTATTCCATCACCTGATTGACTGACAAGCACGCAAAAGAGAAAAGACAAATCAACTGGAACACTACTCTATTTATTCCCGATTCCGGTCTGGTTCCTAATTCAGATTAGTGTAGAAAGATACATGAATAATTAAATAAATATCTAACCAGACCACAATGCACAAACATTTAGGAAACTACAATTATGTCAAAAACTGGGGATTATAGTAGAAAATAGAGTACAAAATATTACGCTCAAATTACAATATCCTTCGGACAGAAAAGGCTATGACAGTGAATCATACATCAAACAAAAGCTTGTGGTCTGTAGAATAGACTGTAGACAAACGTAAATATTACTGTTATACAAGCTTTGAATAAAAGGAAACAACTTCCCCATTAATAACATCCGTGGTTTGTCAAGACTTCCTATTTCTTTCTTCACATCAACCTATTAGAAAACAAGCTTCAGTTGCAACACTTCCCATTAACTGTACATCTGTGAATTCACCCTATTATTGTAAGGATCATTAGCAATGTTTAATTTAATTGTTTCAAATAAATTAAATGTTGCGTTAGCATTTGTTCGCTCTAATATTTTTTGTGAATATTCAAAATAATGGAAATTGAAATTCCCGGCGTTTCGCGAATTAATGTATGCCACTTCTTCAGAGTAAATAAATAGGTAATCCAATCAAATTGACGCAAGTTAAATAAAACAGGAAAAAGACGGAGTGATAAGTTCTGCCGAAATTAATATAGGTTTGATTATGTCAATTTCATGTGACATTTTTGGTTAAACTGTTTCTGTATGAGACGTCATTGTATGTATGATGTTGGTTATGAAAGATGTCCAATTTGTAATATAAAGGAATGCAGTTAGAATTTGAGTGTAAGCGTATATTGGACCGCGAATGAATGGAGTTAAATGTGGTTGTTTGGATGAACAATTCCAGTTGTATGAATATTCGGGCTTTCCTTTCTATTGAGGACAGAGGGATTTTGTATTACATAAAACGTTTCGGTTACTTGTCTTTTTTTACAGTTTAAAAAACGTTTTTGAATTATTTTGATGTTTTTAATACCTGTTTGGTGAAAATAGCATGTACTGCTATTATCAATTTAATTTGTGGATTTTTCAGCTCTACACAATTATTAGGTCTTGTGTAGCTCAAGTGTTCCTTGGTCGAGTAGGAATTTCACGGGAATTCCCATTATTGAACTCATGAAAGTTAACCTAATTTGTAAACAGTTTCGTTTGGATGCACGTTCAGTTATTTAATTATTTACTGTGAAGCCGTAGCTTATATTATGTCGCGAAACGTCAGAAATTCGTATTTCAACTGATTGCGATATATTTTATTTATTTCAACACATAAATATTGGTACAAGAGGGCAGCATATATGTATGCGCCACACAAAATAATCGGAATGGGAAGAGAAAAAGAGGGTAAGGTGCATGTAAGAAAGAAAAAGAAAAAGAAAATAATAACAACCACATATTAGTGTATGTTATTGTAATAATAAGAATAATAATGGAAGAAGCAGAAATGTACAACCAGAGATACTTTTTCAGTTAGGAGTTATAACCACTTTTCATGAAGAAAGTAAAAAAAGATTACAGCAGGATCGCAACTGGCTTTTATTCTGAGACATATCTGATACCGTCTCTAGCCACTGTGTTTCACCATCTTTCGGACCCCAGCCAAAGAGTCGCGAAGGACCAACAGAAGCCAGCCCATTGCAGATTTCTCTCACACCACGACACCATGTCATACACTGACCGCCTCTCCGCCTTTTCCAACTAGTCCCAGCGTCAGCAAATAATTCACGACGTGGAATTCTCTGGGACGACATTCGTAGATTATATCCGAGCCACCGACGTCGACGTTTCGAGATGGTGGCTCCAACTGGATTGTCGTCTCTGCGCCCGAACACACGATGCCGAACCTCTGCATTACTGACATGGTGTTGTCACTGGATGTCAGTAATCCTTTGCAGACAATGATGATCGAACACGGAGAGTCGTCTATCATCCTCAGTAGTTTAGACGCAATAGGAAGTAGACTTATCTCCCGATAGTTGTTGCAGGAACGACGTGAAACCTTTTTAAAGATGGGGACAACTATCGACTCATTCCATGACGTCGGAGTACGCTCTAGCTTCCAGACCTTTGTAAACAACGCGGTCAATTCCCTAGTCAGAATGTCACCACCGTCTTTGGAAAGAGCTGGAGGTAAGTCCAGACCTTTGTAAACAACTCAGTCAGTTTGTAGTGCCGTGCTTCGTTATTTGTTCACCTCGACGACCGTTATAATACCAATCTTAACGGTGCATAAAATCAGAAGGCAAAGCGAAGCGGCAACTACAATTTTATTGACAAATGATGCAGGCCAGAAAGTTATAAGCACATGAGCAAATATCAGCAAGCGAAGCATAAATGACACGCATCTGGGATAGCGGGTAAGCCAACTCGCTTTAACCAAGCGTTAATCGATATTTATTGTGAGATATAAATAAATGACAGACATGTGATAAATATAGTAAAACGTGTGCACACACATGCGTTCAAATAAAAACAGTCAGAGTTGCTAAGTGAATAATTAACAAGGTCAAAACGTGACTCATGATGTGTACGTAAATTGGCTTGTCCTGAAGCTATAATTAGGCATATGGGCCTAACATATTTACCGACACTACAAGTTCTTTAGCCAGGAAGTTACCACCATTTTTGAAAAATGCCGTAGGTAGGTCATCTGGGCCCGGTGATTTGTAGCGTTTCAAGAGTTGGAGTATGTTGCGCACACGCGCCTCATATAATGGAGCAGTCGTGTCTGGCTATGGAGGGCAGGACAATCTGGTCGATGTTGCCTCAGCAGCAGGTCAATTGAACTGCCCTACAAAGAATTCTGCCCATCGTCCAAGACGTCGATAGATGTTAGTGATTGGCATCTCGACCGTAGCAGCTACCTTGACGTGGTAGGAACTTTTAATGTCCGAACATTGTGTCAAGTAGGCCAACAGGCTTCCTTAGCTAGGACTTTAGAATCTCGCACCATCGATGTGTGCTGCGTCTGTGAACTGCGGATACAGGATCCGAGTAGCGTCATTCATTTGACCTCACCATATCAAAATAAAGAACCATCTCGATTCACGCTTCGTGTATCTGGAAGCCTTGATGTTGCTCTCCGTGGCCTCACTGGCGTAGGTATAGCATTGAGTCCTAGGGCAGAACTAACTGTTTTAGACTGGATCCCAGTAGACAGTTTTTTGTGCGCTGTCCGACTAAACGGAACAGTAAGGACTCAGAAAGATAGGGACACTCGTCGTTGCCTCTTCGTCGTCTCTGCCTACTCTCCCAATGACTGCAGCTCAGATGATATAAAAGATGAGTTTTACAGAAAACTTCCCGACCTTCTCCGAAAAACTAGGCGCTCTGATGTATTAATAATGGTTGGTGACTTTAATGCTTAAGTAGGTAAACTAAGTGAAAGGGAAAGACACGTGGATGGATCTTATGGTGTCATGGCTGAAAGAACAGATAATGGCGATCGTCTGTTGCAGCTATTATTATTATTATTATGCTCAGATAACCGTCTGTTTCTAGCAAATACTAACTTTAAGCACAAGGAAAAACATCTTTTGACGTGTCGACCCTCGAATTCTTCCCAACGTTGGACCCAACTGGATCACATCGCTCTCAGCCACCGATGGAGGGGCTCGATAGAAGACTGTCGCTCATTCTGGAGCACATGTTTAGACTCAGATCATGCTCTAGTGAGAGCACGTATCTGTCTGCGTCTTGCTGGACGTAGGAAAGACACTGCAACGATGCCTCTTAGGGTTCTACTTAATGATAGGCAAGCTAAGAATAGTTAGCAGAGATGGATAGTGGCTAGCAGTGGAATCCAGGACGCGCGTTTCGTCCTATTTTGGACTCGTCAGCTGGATGTACCTGCATCTCAGAGTTGATGTTCAAATCGATGGGAAGATTCAAACAAACAATACTAAGTTGAATTTAAACTTCACCCCATCGCACAAGCAAGTGGCTATCAGGACTCAGCGGCCGAGTGGATAACGCGATGGCGTTTGAAGCGAGGGTACTGGGTTCGAATCCCAGAGTGAACATCAACTCTGAGATGCAGGTACATCCAGCTGACGAGTCCCAAACAGGACGAAACGCGCGTCCTGGATTCCACTGCTAGCCACTATCCATCTCTGCTAACCATGCTTGTGAATTAAGGTATATCGAGGCAATACGCACAGTATGCACATATGCCAATTAGAGACTGACCAGTTGCAGTCCTAACAAATCGATGGGAAGATTCAAACAAACAATACTAAGTTGAATTTAAGCTAAGAATATATTTCAGGAACAACTGGAAAAACAGTTAGACAGACTTGTAAGTTGTGCCCACCCCGAAGCAGCGTGGAATGACATCCGAAAAGCTGTGGAAACAGCAGTGATATCCGCTAGTAAGGTAAGCCATAAGATCAGGGAGAAAGAATGGATCTCAGCAGCATCTACCGCACTGATAGATGCTCGAAAACTCATCCCACCTGTCTCTGAACATAACGAAGAGTGGAGTCAGCTTAAGCGAAGGCTAATAAGATGCCTACGCAATGATCGTGAACAGTGGTGGGTAGCGAAAGCGAGAGAGATGGGAAAGGCAGCGGCAATAGGTAACAGCAGATAGCTATTCAGACTTGTTAAAGAAACCGGTATTAGGAACCCAACTGTTAGCGAAACATTGATAGACGTTCAGAAGCCTCACAATTGTAGAATTTTTTGACCTTATTGCGGCATTTGACTCGGTTGATCGTGAGGTTCTATGGCAGTGTTTGTCAGTGAAAGGAGTACCAAAGAAGTACATTAACCTCATAAAGGCTCTCTACTCGAACACAACTGGTCGGGTTGGAGCCTATGGCGAACTGTCATCAGAATTGGTTACCTCAAGTAGTGTTCGTCAGGGCTGTCCACTCTCCCCATTCTTGTTTAACTTTGTCGTTGACATGCTTTTAGAGATATCACTTTTATCATCTCAATCTCCTGGAGTTAAACTTTTACCAGGAGATTCACTTGTTGACTTAGAATACGCCGACGACATAGTTTTATTCGATGAAGACGCTGACAAAATGCAAAGTCTTCTGACCACCATAGGCAACTATGCAGAAATGTTCGGGATGCAATTCTCTCGCTCAAAGTGCAAAATGTTACTTCAGAATTGGGTTGCATCGGCACCTGAACTAATGATAGGGAGTGAAGTAGTTGAGCGTGTAGACCACTTCACTTATATTGGGAGTCTCATCAGCCCTTGCGGTCTGGTGTGTGACGAAATCTCAGCACGGATACAGAAGGCTCGTCCAGATTTCGCCAACTTACACCATTTATGGCGTAGGCGAGATATCCGTCTACCGTTCCGCCCTACTTTATGATGGAGTTTTGTTCTCTGAGATGGATGGTTTGGTCATGGAGCTTTCATCGTTCTTCTGAACGACATCATCAGCACAAACTTCGGGTAGAAGTGAAGTGTTTGAATTTCTGCACATGTAGTTCACAGCTTGTTCTGTACACCTCGATTTCGATTGATTCTTGTTGACCTTAAATCTGTCATTGTTTATTTCTCTGTTTTGGTCGTATCTCTCATTGGTTTGATTTTTTTCCTGTCTCTGCATAATTTTCCTGATTGGTTGATAAATTGAATTGATTTCAATGTGCTTGTTTATTGGTGATTGACCTGAATGCCAAGCTTCTAAAAATTCTCTGATGTTTTTGGCATTGCCTCTATCCAAAATCTCTACATTTTCCCAGTCGATTGTGTGTCCGCAGTTGTCCACGTGCCTTGATATTGGTGAAGACTTGTCATGTACACTTGAGTGTACAATACTCCTATACGAACTGATGTACATACATGTGCACTTGTAGGTTTTGACTGACTAGTCATTTGCATCTTGTCATCATCACGAATTGTTTCACTCATATCAGACTTCTTGCAGACAGTGGCTCGGATGAGTTGGAAGAGCTTCCGGCAGTTACCAGATGCAGCTGCTGCTTCCATCTCATTAGCACGCTCCGACCACCAGGTTTCTCGGTTCTTACGCTATGTTTGCCCAATTTCGTTGTCATACTCATAGTCACTCGGAGTAGACCTACGGGCTTTGATCAGTTGTAAAGAGCCAGAAGAAACCCTGCGCTTACAAGCGGAACGTTTCGCGAAGCCTCAAGCGACTTTTCTCGCCATTTTCATGGCGTCATGCAGTTGCGACCAATGCTCATCCATACTTTTCTGTGGGTTGGTAGTTAGCCTAGAGGCTAGCTCTTTTCGATACTTACTTGCAACAGAAGTTGTAACCAAATTACTAACGTCAATCCTTTGATGACGGTAATTCGTTGGCCACTGAAAAGTAAGGTAAGATTGGTGCAAACCAGGGGATAATCAGAGTTCAGATAGGTACTCCAAAAGGAGCGGCAGTCTTGTACACAACCACGCCAGCGGTAGCTGATCGCGATTGTGGTCT